ATGTTGTTGATGCGTATGATGATGCTGATGACGATGATGATGATGATGATGACGATTCGGATGACGACGGTGATTCGGATGATGATGATGATGATGATGATGATGACGATGATGTTGATGATGTTTCCGATGATGATGATGATTCGGATGATGACGATGATGATGATGATGATGATGATGATGATGATGATGATGATGATGATCGCGATTCGGATGATGATGCTGATGATGATGATTCGAATGATGATGATGATTCGGATCATGGTGATGATTCGGATGACGATGATGATGATGATTCGAATGATGATGAGGATGATGTTGATGATGATTCGGATGATGATGATGATTCGGACGACGACGGTGATTCGATGATGACGATGATGATGATGCCGATTTTGATGATGATTCGGATGAAGATGATTACTTGAATAATGAATATGATTTGTATCACGATGGTCATTATGATGATGTTGATGATTCGGATGATGATGATGATGATGATGATGACGATGATGATTATGATGTTTATGATTCGAAAAATGATGATGATGATGATGATGATGACGATGATGTTGATGATGTGTCGGATGATGATGATGATTTGGATGATGATGATGTTGATGCCGATGACGATGAGGATGATGATATCGACGATGATAATGGTAATGATGATGATGATGATCATGATGATGTCGATGACGACGATTCCGATGATGATGATGATGATGAGGATGATTCGGATGATGACGATGGTGATGGTGATTCGGATGATGATGGTGATTCGGATGATGATGATGGTGATTACGATGATCATGATGGTGATGATTCGGATGATGATGATGATGAGGAGGATGCTGATGGTGACGACTCGCATGATGATGATTCGAATGATGATTCGGATGACGATGATGATGATGATGTTTCGAATGATGATGAGGATGATGTTGATGATGATTCGGATGAAGTTGATTACTTGAATAATGAAAACGATTTGCATGATGATGGTCATTATGATGATGTTGATGATTCGGATGATGATGATGATGATGATGACGATGCTGTTTATGATGCTTATGATTCGGATGATGATGATGATAATGATGATGATGATGACCATTCGGATGACGACGATGATGATGATAATGATGAAGATGATATGGATGATGACGATGATGATGATGAGGACGATGTTGATGATGATGATGGTGGTGATGATGATGATGATGATGTTGATGAGGATGTTTGGGATGGTGATGATGATGAGGATCATGCTGATGATGATGATGATGATGATGACGATGATGATGATGACGATGATGATGATGATGGCGATGATGATGACGACTCGGATGATGTTCCTGATGATTTCGATGATGATGATGATGATGATGATTCGGCAGATGACGATTGTGATTCAGTTGATGATAATTAAAATGATGTTTTCGATGATGATGATGATCATGATGATGATGATTCCGATAATGATGAGGATGACTATTCGGATGATGATTATGATGACGAAGATGATCATAATGGTGATTCGGAATATGATGATGATGACAACGATGATGAAGATGATGATGTTCATGATCATGATTATGATCATGATCATGATCGAGATTTGGATGATGATGATTCGGATGATCATGTTGATAATGATGATGATGATGACGATGACGATGATGATGACGATGAGGATGAATATTCGGATGATGATGCGGATGAAGATTCGGATTATGATGATGCTGATGATGATGATGATGATGTTGATGATGATGATTCGGAAGATGATGATTCGGATGATGATGATTCGGATGAAGATGTTGATCATGATGATGATGATTCGCACGAAGACGATGAAGACCATTCGGATGATAACGAGGATAACGATGATGATGATGATGATGATAATGATGGTGGTGATGATGATGATGATGATGTTGATCAGGATGTTTCGGATGGTGATGATGATGAGGATCATGCTGATGATATTTCGGATGATGATGATGATGACGATGATTTTGATGACCATGATGATGATGATGACGATGATTATGACGACTCGGATGATGATGATGATGATGATGATGATGATGATGATGATGATGATGATGATGATGATTCGGCTGATGACGATTGTGATTCGGTTGGTGATAATTAAAATGATGCTTCGGATGATGATGATGATCATGATGATGATGATTCCGACGATGATGAGGATGACTATTCGGATGATGATGATGATTCGGATGATGATGATGGTGAGGCCGGTTATGATTCGGATGATGATGATGATTCGGAGGATGATTGGGATGATGATGATGATTCGGATGATGATGACGTTGAAGATGATGATGATGATGATTATGATGATGATGATGATAATGATGATGATTCGGATGATGATGATGATGATGATGACGATGAATCATATTATGATCCGGAAGATGATTCGGTCGAGGATGATTCGGATGATGATGATGATTCGGAGCATGATGATATGGATGATATTGACGAATATGATTATGATGAACATGATGATGATTTGGCTGATGATGATGATACGGAGGATAATGGTGAAGAAACTGATTCGGATGATGATGATGATGATGATTATTCGGATGTTGACGATGATGATGATGATGATGATGATGATTCTGATGATGATGATTCGCATGTTGATGGTGATTCGGATGATGATGATGACGATGGTGCGGATGACGATGATGATTCGGATGACGATGACGATGACGATGATTCGGATGATGATTTGAATGATAAT